TTCTTCTCCCCATCTCTACTGCCAGGCACCTAGGAATCCTGAGTATCTGTAATGCCCTTTCTCTGCTTTCTGGCTGTGCAGCTCCAAGTGAGCCAAGTTGATGGGGGTATCTTTAATTGGCAGCTGCCCCATGGAACATAATTTAAGGGGTATCTCTCCACCTTAGCATTGTGAGCAGTGCAAAAAGCTAACAGCCTAAGACTGTGTTACCTGCTGGGTGCAGATTGTGTGTGCCCAACAACCCCCAGCTTGCCTACACATTCTGCCCACTTCCTTTCCCTTGTAGATCTGGAGAGCACTCTCCATAGAGTCTGGACACAGAGTTCTGCCACAAAAACAGCTGACTCTTTCCTTCTGTGTGGGAGGAGTGTGATCTGTGCATGGAGGGTCTGCTCTATACACAGATTGGGGGCAGTGCAAGTGCAAGTGTCTGAACAAATCTAGTAAATGAAATGTAAAAAGTCTCCAGATCCTGTATAACAGCCAGTAATGGCAATAAAGGTTTCACATTATCTACCTTGTCCACATTTCCTCCAGGATCAATACAGCTAAGCACATCTTCCGCATGCTTCCATAAGGAGACAAATATAAAACTTACTTTCATCAAGTGAATTTTAGATATCAGCTTTAAATGGGGGTGGGGTGGGGAGTGGAGGTGAGTGGGAAAAAATATCAATACCATGTTAGAATTACATTATTTGGAACAAGGATGAATGTGATGGTGCAAAGTCAAAAGGATTTACTCAGCAACTTTCCATCCGTGATAAATGATATTTGCTAAAATATGGCTTGTGCAGTATGTTTTACTAACATGTAACTCTTTCAATTGGATATTATGAAAGTGTCGCAATGTTGGACTACCCTGACTGGCTCTACGGAGGGAGAATATTAACACCTGATATGCAAATGCTTTCACATCAGCAAACTTCAGGCCAAATTTTAGTCTTTTGAAGAGTCCTTTGCAAAACCTTGCAGATTTTGGCTGATCTTGATGGATGACCAGAACAATAGAATTTCTGTCAGACTCTAGCGATGGTGTTGCAGAGGTACAGGACTGGGACTTGGGTGATATGTGTTCTTTTCTGCCCTCTGCCTGTGTGACCTTCAGCAGCCACTTAGGGAGAGATTTCAAAAACACAAAGAGCAGTTAGGTGCCTAACTCCCAATCACATCTTTTTGGAAATCACTCTGTGCCTTAATTTTCCTATCTGCAAGATGGGTATAATAGTACTTCCCTGCCTCACAGAGGTGTAGGGAGGGTAAATGCATTAATATTTGTGAGATATTACAGTGGTGGAAGGCATATAAGTATCTAGATAGCTCCTGCTTTGAGCTTTTTGGGGTGATGTGTGTACAATGCACTGTGGACAGGTTCCTGGCCCACATTTTTACCAAACACAGTCAAGGGTAGATTGTGCCTATTAAGCACCGCCTTGTGTAAGGGGTGATGAGTAGCTGCACCAGCCCAGCAGGAGCCCTGGGGAGGAAATCTGACTCAGAGTCACAGTGCCTTACTGGCTCCAAGGGAGGAGTAATTTGCTCCACCCCCTTTCCAGGTGTAGCATACTGCTCCCCACACTTATGCTGTCTCAGCTCTGCTGACTGGGCACCATCCCATCCCTGCCCATTTGCTCACAGGGGCAGCCATGATCTGGTCCTTAGTGTTTCCCCAAAAGAGAGATCAATGAAGACATATGCACTTTTGTGTTTATCAAGTGCCCTGTTCTGGCTGCCCCGTCTAGAATGTTTCAGAGTCATCCTTTCATTGGCTAGAACCCCAACCATTGTAATAAATGTGATGTGCATTATGAGGCAAATGCATAATCTGCAGGTGTGGAGGCCCCCTTCGCCCAGCTTAATTGGTGTGGTTGTGTAGTGCAAGGCATGGGTTGGTGCGTGGGTGAGTGGCAGAGGCACACAAAACTTCAGTAATGCAAAGCCCTCTCCCGGAGAGAGTTTGCCATGGCAGAGTGAATGATGGGCAAGTATGATGAGAGGAGAGGAACCAAAGGGCTACTTCATGTATCCTCTTGTTCTTCTTCCCACCTCCACCCCTATATGGAGCCCTTGTTAGAAGTATGCCAGACTACAACAGCCATTCAATCAAACTGAAATGCAGTATTTGGGAATACATTTTCACTCTATTTAGCAAGCTCTATGTCCAATATATTATGTCATATTCTACTTTCTTATATGCAGATCTGAGAGGAGAATCAGACCCTTAGCCCTGGTGTACACTACAAATTTATGTCTATATAACTACATCGCTCAGGGGTGTGGAAAATCTGCATCCCTGAGTGATGTAGTAATACCAACCTAGCTCCCAGGGTAGATAGCGCTAGATGGCAGAAGCGGAGGACCTGTGCTTGTGGGAGAAGCTCTCCCACAGGCAGAGGTAGTGCTCCAGTGGTGCAGCTGCACCGTAAGAATAGGCAGGCCCTCAGTTAACGTCACACCAAACTGTTTTAATGATAAACACAATTTTAATTCACAGTCCTACACTGACACACTCTTGTTTTTAGGTAGGTATTATTCTTGATATTCTTATTGTTGTATTTTATTTGTTGTCTAGAGAACAGTATGACATTTCAATAGAGAAATAAGATAGCAGTTAATGGTAGAGCTAGTTGAAAATGGGAGTTTCCATCCCACTAGAAATTGCAATATTTCAAAATTTGCTTTTGTTCCAAATTAGAATGAAAACGTAAAATATAATTTTTTTTCTTGGAATGGAAAGATCTGAAAAACTTTGATTCAGAAGCAATTAAAACATCATTTCTATGATAGGCTCATGTTAGAGCTGAAAAAAGGCTATGACTTTCTTCATGGGGGTACAGAAAAAGTTCTAATGGTCCATTAACTTTGATTGTCCAGTCTCCAGTTAGCAACTCATTTAACCACAAACCCCATAAAATGACTCAGCTTTTCTGTTTGCAATACACAAATGTTAAGGAAATCATGTTGAGTTTATTTCACATCTTAAACCTATAACTGCCAAGGGCAGATGTAAAATGCAACTCAGAGTATTTTATACACTGTGAAATATACAAATTGCTGGAAAATTACAGGTGCAAATACTCAGATTCTCTAGGACTCTCGACATGTCATTCTGCAAATTTCAAAACACAGGTGGCCTTTTTATATTTATGGATGACCTACAGTTTATGATTATATGATTATGGAATTATGCTTTAGAATAATGAAAAATTTTAAATTAGCAGAAGAAAATCATTTGTAAGCAATAGTGTTTTTGTCTTTTTAACTACAAGTATAAATATATCTTATTTCATGGGGGGGGAGTGACTATTTTTTATTATTTATTTATGAAAATAGGTGTGTGGACTTCTAAAATAAATTCTAGCATTTAGAAACTGCACATGAAGTAATAAGAGACAAATTCAGACTGGAAACAAGGTGTAATTTTTTAATAGTGAAAGTAAGATGGAAAATATCATATTGCCTCTATATAAATCCATGCTATGCCCAAATCTTGAATACTGCACGCAAATCTGGTCATCCCATCTCAAAAAAGGATATATTAGAATAGGGAAAAGTACAGAAAAGGGCAACAAAAATGATTAGGGGTATGGAACAGCTTCCACATAAGGAGAGATTAAATAGACTGGGGCTTTTCACCTTGGAAAAAAGACGACTAAGGGGGGATATGATAGAGGTCTATAAAATCATGACTGGAGTGGAGAAAGTAAATAAGGAAGTGTAATATACTCCTCAGAACACAAGAACTACGGGTCACCAAATGAAATTAATAGGCAGCAGGTTTAAAACTAACAAAAGGAAGTATTTCTTCACACAATGCACAGTCAATCTGTTGAACTCCTTGCCAGAGGATGTTGTGAAGGCCAAGACAATAACAGCATTCAAAAAATTCATGGAGGAAAGGTCCATCAATGGCTATTAGCCAGGATGTGACAGGATGCTGTTCCTGTTCGTCAGAAGCTGGGAATGGGCGACGGGATGGATCACTCGATGATTACCTGTTCTGTTCATTCCCTGTGAAACACTTGTCATTGACCGCTGTCAGAATACAGGATGCTGCAGAATACAGGATAGATGGACCATTGGTCTGACCCAGTATGGCCATTCTTATATTCTTATGTTCTTAAGTTATCCATTGCAGCAGTTTACCAAGAGTCATGGTGAATACTCCATCACTGACCCTTTTTTAAATCAAGATTGGATGTTTTTTCTAAAAGATACATGCTCTAGGAATTTTTTCAGGGAAGTTTATGGTCTGTTATACGGGAGGTCAGACTAGATGATCATAGTGGTCCCTTCTGGCTTTGGAATCTATGAATCTCTTATGCCATAGGAAGTTAAAACTGAGAGTGAGTTTCAGAGCTGACTCCTGCCCTCCACATTAAGTAGTATCTTACTCCAGGAATAATCCCATTCTAGACTGTAAGCTCTCTGAACCAGAGACTGCCTCTTTATCTGTATTTGTACAGCACCTAGCACTATTGTAATAAAAATGTTTATTAATAATTATTTGCAGGAATACTCATGGAATAAAGTACTACTCAGCAGTGCTGGTCAAGAATTTTAGATGAAACTTTTTTTGTTGGAAAATGCTGATTCATTGAATCCAAAATATTTTGTGGGTAAAGGTTGGTTTTAATTAATTTCTTCTTTACAAAAATTAAAAAAACATTTTGAACATCCTTTTTTGAGGTCTGAAGTGTCTTTTTGTTTCAAAATTTAAGTTAATTTATAGACAAAAAGAGTCATAACAAAAAGTTTTGATTGACCTGAACCAAACTTTCTTGAGGGATTCAGTTCACAGAAATTTTGAGATATCAACTTTTCATCTCAGTTTGGACTGAGAAAATGTTTTGAATCTCAAAACTATCTGCAGGAGGGGAAAAACATTTCCCACCCAGAAACAACAAGGAGTCTGGTGGCACCTTAAAGACCAACAGATTTATTTGGGCATAAACTTTATTTGGGCATAAACTTATGCCCAAATAAATCTGTTAGTCTTTAAGGTGCCACCAGACTCCTTGTTGTTTTTGTAGATACAGACTAACACGGCTACCCCCTGATACTTTCCCACCCAGCAATACATACTCAGCATAAATAAATGTGGCAGACTGAAGCCCAAATTGAAGTGAGCATAGAATATATTGATTTTCATGCAGAAATCTTTTGACTGTCTCTTTTGCCTTTTGGAGGAATGCATTGTTAGGCTCCTTTTAAAAGGGGGAAAGCAAACCAGGTCCTGAGGTCTTCTTTAATGTAGCTTTCTGAAGATAACTTTATAAAGCCAGAAAGTAGAAAGCCATTTTAAAGTGATTTGCAAGAAGGATGTGTACCTCCACAGAGAAACCTTCACTTGGGTCATTTGGATTTCTCTCTCTTCCCTGGAAGCAGCTAGTCAAAACTGTCTGTATGCAACAGAAAGATAAAAATTTCAATTAGGTTGAGTGCTGTCATAAGCAGACTACATGAGAAGGCTTGAGATAATATGCATTACATATTGATGTCTATCAGCACTGAGAACATAGCCATGTTTTATTCCATGCCCCTTTTGTAGGTTTGGCAGCAGTGGCACCCAATAAAGGCCTAATCATATTAATTTATGCCCCTATCAATTATGCATTCAGATTCCCCCGATAGCTTGTCAGTTTTTATTCACTATTTTCTGAAAAATACGCCTATTACAGTTACTGAGCAAATAGGAGGACTGTCAAAAACTGAGATTTAAAGAATATTACTTAAAAGGGGTGGGTTTCTTTAATTTATAAATCTTGTATTATATGTCATGCATTTGTTAGTTTTAAAACAGGTGACAGTGCGGGGACAGATGTCACATTAAGGACTTTCTGGAGATGAGGGGAGAAGTCTACTTTCAAGAAAAGTTGAATAAAGCGGTGCTTTTAAAAGCAAAGTGCGATCTCTGGTCTGCAGATGTAGTAAAAATGTATCAGCTTTGTTATTTTAATGTGAATTTGAATGTGTAGCTCTCAAATGATGTGCATCAACGAAGTATTTTTTAAAAAGTAACCATTTTCAGTTCATAAACTGATCTTTTTTTGTGTGAGAAACTGTTCTATATATTGTAACTAGTCACTAAATTCAGGGTCCTCCTTGAGTGTTGGTATAGGTGGTAAACAGAAAATGTAAATAGAAGGACTGTGTGAAGTGCCTGAAATTGCACTATTTACTAGCTTGTATTGAGCACCTTGCCACATTTACTGTACAAGTCATTTACAAATATCCAAATGGCACTGAATGCTGAGTTGCCAATCCTTGCATACCCTGTTCACCTATAACTCTCATTCAAGTCAACAGGGCCATTGAGTTTTGATGTGAGTTTTGATGTGCAAGGAATGCCAGGGTCAGGCCCTCCATACATGGTGAAGTGCTATAATGTGCCTAATCCTTCTGCAACTGAAGTCAATGACAAAGGTCTACATTTTCAAAAATGGTCACTGATTTTAATTGCCTAAGGTTTTGGGTATCTCAAGCTGGGCTCCCAAAATAGGTAGTAACTTTTTGAAAATTTGGCCTAGCATCCCCATTGGCTGACCAAGCTCAGACCCTATGTGTCATTTCAGTTTACATAATTTAGGAAGGCTTATTATGTAAGCACTTTGACATCAGGAAAGTTTCATCCGCCAAATATATTATACTAAATTATCCATATGTATGAAACTAATTAAATTTACAGGGCTGGATTTAACCCTGGGTTATGCAGACTCCCGAAACCCAACCCAGGGAGCAGGACACCTGTTAGCATAAAGTCTGTGCAGAAGGACATTGTGACAGCACCAAGCAAATGTAACCCCTCTGTGTGCCTACACTTGGTGCAGTGCTGGCCAGAAAGGGGGTGTATGGTTTGTTTGTGTTTTTTTACATCGCTCCTTTGAAAGGGATTTAAGTTTATCTCCAAAATACGGAGGCACCTTCTTGAACACCCCATGATCTTCTGAGAGAGATAAGGTGGGTGAGGTAATATCTTTTATTGGACCAACTTCCAATATTATCTCACCCACCTTGTCTCTCTAGTATCCTTGGACCAGCATGGATACAACTACGCTGCATACACTCACTGACAGTTAGGACACTAGAACTGTATTTTTGTGCTTGCTAAAATTAATATCCAAGGAAAATATAGGACTTGGCACTAAAAGTCACATGTTGTTTACTCGCTTTTTCGATACTCTATAGACATGTTATTTGTAGTATTGTTCTTTACACCACTTTCTACTCCCACCAGTCAATCCAAAATGGTGATGCCAAGAACATCTTCCTTTCCCACCACCCCGACCATGTCTCCCACACTCCCTGCCTGCTTGAAGTGCTATACTAGGTCCCACTCTTCTTCCTTGAGTTCAGATTTCTCCTTTCCATATTTAAAGCACTCTGCCCCTGCTCTCCGATCCTCCTATACTACTTCACACTCCCTGTGCTCCCAAACTTCTCTCCTGACAGTTTCCTTGAGGGAAAATACTTCTATCCTTACTTGGGGCCTTTTGCCTCCTTAAGTGGAAAAACTCAGAGGAGGAAGTTAAGGGGGAAGGGAACTCAGTGATGAAAACCTTGCTGAGTTTTCTTATGGGATGTTCCATGGGGTCGGTGAGGTTTGCTTATCTTGGAACAGATAATGGGGTCAGCCCACAAACCCAGATGCACAATCCTGAGCCATTAGTGGGAGCTACACAGAGGCACAGGGCTTCTCACAGCCTCTTTGTCCCCTGTTGGTCCTGTTTCTGTTCCCTGATGGTGTGAGTTCATTGTAGCTATGGTGACATGGTGTCTGCAGCTAGTGGCTTTTTAGAGAGGTTCCCAATCTCAGGAGTGAGGGATATGGGACGATAATTCATCCTGTGGCTGTTTTATCTTTCTAGGTAAAATTCAGCAGGACCCATGTCCCCTCCCACACCCTGCCTCCTCCTTGTGTGCTGAGCCTCAGAGCATCTTTGGCTGCTGCAGAAAAGGCTACCCTCTGCTTTCCACCAAAGGGGGGGATCTGAATGTGGAATTTTGTGATACAACCACACCCTCAGTCCTCACTTTGGCAAAACTCCCATTGGCTTTAATAGGAACTGTGCTTGGGTATCGAAGGACTGGGCTCTTTGTTTCCTTTACCAACTCCTGCCTTTGTGCCACTTTTCACCTCTGCCCATATACTTAGGCAATTAATGTACAATAATCCCCCTTCCTCTCCTCCTATAAATCCTCCTATCTTGGAAAGTATTCCAGTTACAGTAACCAGGTAGTACCCTGTTTTGTACAAGTTCCATTGTATTCTCTCTCTCCTCCAGATTCTAAGCTCTTTGGGGAAGGGACCTGTTGTTTGTTCAGCAGAGTTGACTATTTATACAGTTCCTCATACACTTATGTTGCTATCGAGATCATCCTCTTGTTAATTTTAGATAGGCCTGACATATATTAATGATGAGGCTTAGCACTTTTACAGCCTTTTAAATCCTCAGAGCATCTTTCATATATTAACTAATTAATCTGAACAACACCTCTTTGACATAGGTAGATATTATCCAAATCTTACAAATGGGGAAACTGAGCGATGTTAAGGGATTTGCCTAAAGCCACAAAGTAAGTCTGTGTCAGAGCCATGATTCAAACAGACGTGTTCCTGGCTTTTCATTCCATGCCCATGTCACCATTTTCTTTCTCCACTGATGGGTGGTTTGTAATACTCATTTCAATAATTCCATAAATCGGCCTTAGCAGTTGCCTTCCTTTCAATATTAACTATTTTTCGTTTGTTTCCCCACCACTATATATCCAATACATCTGCCTAGAAAACATGAAATTCTTCATAAGTTGCATATGGAATCTGCAGCTTCAATTAAAAAAATGTATGATAGGAATTCAGAGGGGATATTTATTATACCAATAGTACCATTAGGATAAAATCCAAGGGGATTCTCCTGTTCAAATGGAAAAACTGCAGGACTCCCATTTAAGTCATGTAGCTGCTATTTGCTCAACCACCCTGATTTTTTTTCTTCCCAAAATAGATACACAACAGGTACGCGATGGACAGGGATGTGCGTGCGTGCTCATGTTAGGGCAGAAAATTAGGACAGTCAAGTGATTAATCCTGATTAATCGCAGTGTTAAACAATAATAGAATACCATTTATTTAAATATTTTTAGATGTTTTCCACATTTTCAAATATATTGATTTCAATTACAACACAGAATACAAAGTGTACAGTGCTCACTTAATATTTATTTTTATTACAAGTATTTGCACTGTAAAAAAAACAAAAGAAATAGTATTTTGCAATTCACCTAATACAAGTACTGTACTGCAATCTCTTTATAATGAAAGTTGAACTTACAAATGTAGAATTATGTACAAAATAAACTGCATTCAAAAATAAAACAATGTAAAATATTAGAGCCTGCAAGTCCACTCAGTCCTACTTCTTGTTCAGCCAACCGCTCAAAGAAGTTTGTTTACATTTGCAGGAGATAATGCTGCCCGCTTCTTGTTTACAATGTCACTTGAAAGTGAGAACAAGCGTTCTCATGGCACTGTCGTAGCCGGAGTCGCAAGATATTTATGTGCCAGATGCGCTAAAGCAGTGTTTCCCAACCTTGGAATGCCACTTGTTTAGGGAAAGCCCCTGGCGGGCCAGGTCAGTTTGTTTACCTGCTGCGTCTGCAGGTCCGGCCAATCGCGGTTCCCACTGGCCGCAGTTCGCCACTCCAGGCCAATGTGAGCTGCTGGAAGCGGCGGCCAGCACATCCCTCGGCCCGCGCCGCTTCCCGCGGCTCCCATTGGCCTGGAGCAGCGAACCGCAGCCAGTGGGAGCCGTGATCGGCCGGACCTGCGGATGCAGCAGGTAAACAAACTGGCCTGGTCTGCCAGGGGCTTTCCCTAAACAAGCGGCGTCCCAAGGTTGGGAAACACCGCGCAAAAGATTCATATGTCCCTTCATGTTTCGACCACCATTCCAGGGCACATGTGTCCATGCTGATGACGGGTTCTACTCAATAACAATCCAAAGCAGTGTGGACCGACGCATTCTCATTTTCATTATCTGAGTCAGATGCCACCAGCAGAAGGTTGATTTTCTTTTTTTGGTGGGTCGGATTCTGTAGTTTCTGCATTCGAGTGTGGCACTTTTAAGACTGCTGAAAGCATGCTCCACACCCTGTCCCGATCAGATTTTGGAAGGCACTTGAGATTCTTAAACCTTGGGTCGAGTGCTGTAGCTATCTTTAGAAATCTCACATTGGTACCTTCTTTGTGTTTTGTCAAATCTGCAGTGAAAGTGTTCTTAAAATGAACAACATGTGCTGGGTCATCATCCGAGACTGCTATAACATGAAATAGATGGCAGAATGTGGGTAAAACAGAGCAGGAAACATACAATTCTCCCCCAAGGAATTCAGTCACATATTTAATTAATGCATTATTTTTTTAACTAACATCATCAGCATGGAATCATGTCCTCTGGAATGGTGGCCGAAGCACAAAGGGGCAAACGAAAGTTTGGCATATCTGGCACATAAATACCTTGCAATGCCAGCTACAAAAGTAGGACTGTTGTCAACAGATCGAGAGAAGCGATTATTCCCCTCTATTCAGCACTGGTGAGGCCACATATAGAGTATTGTGCCCCCCACTACAGAAAGGTTGTGGACAGATTGGAGAGAGTCCAGTGGAGGGCAATGAAAATGATTAGGTGGCTGGGCTACATGACTTATGAGGAGAGGCTGAGGGAACTGGGCTTATTTACTCTGCAGAAGAGAAGAGTCAGGGGGGATTTGATAGCAGCCTTCAACTACCTGAAGGGAGGTTCCAAAGAGGATGGAGCTAGGCTGTTCTCAGTGGAGACAGATAACAGAACAAGGAGCAATGGTCTCAAGGTATAGTGAGGGAGGTCTAGGTTGGATATTAGGAAACACTATTTCACTAGGAGAGTGGTGAAGCACTGGAATGGGTTACCTAGGGAGGTGGTAGAATCAACATCCTTAGAGATTTTAAAGGGCTGGCTTGACAAAGCCCTGGCTGGGATGATTTAGTTGGGGTTGGTCCTGCTTTGAGCAGGGGGTTGGACTAGATGACCTACTGAGGTCTCTTCCACCCCTAATCTTCTATGATTCTAAGAAGAGGGCAACATTATCTCCTGTAAATATAAGCAAACTTGTTTGTCTTAGTGATTGGCTGAACAAGAAGGACTGAGCAGACTTGTAGGCTCTGAAGTTTTACATTGTTTTGTTTTTCTACATTTTTTAATTTCAATTACAACATAGAATACAATATATATGAAAATGTAGAAAAAACATCCAAAATATTTAATACATTTCAATTGGTATTCTGTTTTTAACAGTGTGATTAAAACTGCGATTAATCACAATTAATTTTTTTGAGTTAATCGCATGAGTTAACTGCAATTAATTGACAGCCCTACAGGAAATATGTAAATCCAAAAAGTGATGAAGTAATAGTAAGCTGACAAGACCTAGCCTGATCAGCTAAAGCTTTGACAACATTTGGCAAGGAGGAATAGTCCAATTAATGGGGTGCCTCTGGGCAGCTTTACCTTACATGACGGGCACTTCTAAAACAAGATCTTAGTGCACTTGGCAGCATTACCCGGGTAATAGTCATATAAGGATGAACAGTTTCTCCAGTATACTAGTCATCTGCAGGCTCTTCTTCATCATTCAGCATGGATGTCTTTCTGTTTCACCTTTTATTTTCTGTCAAAAGTATATTTATTGTGGCAATGTACAGTATAATCTGCTTCTTTGCTTCTGTCTGAGCTCCTTTCTCACAGTACTTCAGGGTATTAATGGAGTACAGGATTCTGTGTTACACATGTGCCTTCTTAAAGATCCCCATTTAAGACTGTGGTGCCCTTGGGCTACTGGTGGTGGTTAATAACTTTCTACACTAGTAGTTCTCTCTTCATCATTACACTAGCTCTTTTTTACCTTGGTATATAAAGATCTTAAGTGTTCCCCTTGACCAGTGGCCCAAGGATTATACAATGGCACTAGCAAGAGAAAATATAAAAGCTACACCTTTTAAACTATTAGAGTGGAAGCTTCAGAAACAGCCACATGAGTAAATTGTACTGAGGCACTTCTTCCCTAACCATCAATATAATATGAATCCAAATAGTTACACAAAGGAGCCTAGAAAGATTAGAAACAGAGAGTATAAATAAATGAGATTAATCTTGGAGAAATAGATATCAGAGGCTGATTTAAGTGATAGGATACAGATCACAGTTAGTAGTTTTGCAATTTCATATCTGAGTTCTTTCAGAACTTTTGACTGAATACCATCTGGTATCGGTGACTTCTTACTGTTTAATTCATCGGTTTGTTCCAAAACCACCTCTATTGACACCTCAGTCTGGGGCAGTTCCTCAGATATGTTAATAATGGCTCAGATGTGGGAATCTCTCTCACAATTTGAATAACATATGCTTGAGGTCTCATGCTGTCATCCTCGGAATTTCTAAATATTGCAGATGACAATTTCCTAACTCAGAAAGTGATGCATTCAACACATTAATAGATGCTCAAAAAATCACAATCTCAAAATCAAGGAAGAAGACCGTACTGGTTAAAAAACTAATCTGATTTAGTGGAGAAGTGAAGACAGCTATAAAAAATTAAAATAAATACACACATACACACACACACGTAAGAAAGGGGAAGTGGATAGTAATGAATGTAAATCAGAAGCTAAGAATTGTAGAAAATGGGTAAGAGTAGCAAAGAGACACAAGGAGAAATCTATGGCCAGCAGAGTTAAGGACAAGAAAACATTTTCCAAGTTTAAATAATATAGGTTCAGTTTAGGAATCAGTTTTTGAAAGTTTGGCCCCAGCCTTCCAAAGGCACACAATCTCCTAGTATTGCTGCCTGGGCAATGCCACCTTTCCTTTTCCCTTAACACAGTCCAGCCTCATAGGAGGTGATAGTTGAGCTGATAGTGTGCTTTATGCTTGTGAATTTTGTGTTTGTGTGAATGAGAGACAGAACACCAGGGAGACAAGGAAAACAATTGCTTAGTAGAGTTGGCCTTTAACTACAGGCTGAATAAAACTGTATTGTAAACTTGAAGAATAATAAAAGGGGGAAAGTTGAGCTGGGGAATTGCTTACTAGAGATGGTCCTTGATGAAGGTATACTGTACAGATGTATCCCTTTTATAGGCTCTGATGCTATCCTAATAGAAAGAAAATCTCTTTATGCAATTTCTAACCAAAGTTTTGAAACTGTTCCCTGTCTAGAATTCCTAAACAAAAGGAAAATCCTATGAAGACCTGGGGGGAAAGTACATTCTCTATCTTTGAGATATTTTACCCTATCTTTACATGTTGACCTTGTTTATATTTTCAGAAACTGTATATAGAGTTGTCGAGTTGGTCAATAAACTAATCCAGCCATCAATAAAACACACCTTCTTGTTTATTAATACATGATTAAAAATGTATATGATAAAAAGATATTGACTGCAGCAGAGTTTGGGTGACAAGAACAATTATGGTTTTCAAGCCTAATCACTACATGAGCTCTTTAACCCAATGAAAGTCAATAGTCTATTTATGAACAACTATGTTTTTTATTTTAAGTACAGTATTTGAATTTTATTAGGATTCTCATTCTTACTTCATTTACTATTGTAACTTGTACAAATCTCCAGAATGAAACAGACAACTGATAAAGCAGAAATGTAACAAAAGTGTTATGCTTATTGTATGACAAATCTGTATATATGTGCAAACGGTATTTGCTTTCATTATAGTTCTCTATCTGCAATTAAACTACGGTGATAATTCAGTATTTTCCATTTTTCAGTATATTACTAGTTACACAGTTGATAAGCAGGTTTTCAAACCCTCCTAATTTACTTATAATCCATTTTAATAATATTATTTTAGGCTTAATTTTACTGCACTCAAGTGTAGGGCTTGATTTTTATCTTATTTAAAACTGTGTAAATTGGTGGAGTTACACCAGTGTAAAACTAATGTGAGATTAGAATCAGACCCTGTTGTTGTTTTTTCTGATCAAGTGAATTTCAGCTTTTTTTACTCTTTACCATAGTCTCGTACTTTCTCTTCCAGTAATATTCCATAGAAATCAAACCATTCTGTAATAATTGGAAAATCTAACATGTGAAGGCAGCTAGGGGAGGGATTTTTAAAAACAACTCAAAGAAGCAAGTCTCTACATTTTATTCCTCATTTACAAATAAAACTGAGTCAAAATATAGCCTGCTTGTTTAAATCTGACCCAGGCCAGTAGTGGCCAAAAGTAGTAAAAATCTGAACTTTGTTCTTTGGCCTTTGTGAAACAAGGACACTGTAAGAGACTATGGTGATAGGGTTCAGAGAAATTAGATCCATCTACTTCCTTGTGGACAGGTGCCCATATCACAAAATATTTCATCATGCTTTGTGGCAGAGGGGCCAAGCATGGGATTAGGTTAGGAACCTGAACTATCCCTTTAAATTTTCAAGGTTGAAGGTTCAGGTGTAGGGTTGTATGGGGAGACTTGCACTGCTGCTGCCTGGTTGGTTCCTGTTCTGTAGCTAGAAACAAGACTCCCAGACTGCTCAAGAAAGATGCAGAGTTAAATTCGTCTTTTAAAAAAAATAAAAAACATCACCACAAATTACTTGTTTGACAGGGCAAAAGGGGGGTGGGTGGGTAGGAGATATATAACCAGATACAAAAAAAGAATCACATACTGATCCCTGAAGTGGCTACATTTTATTTTATACTACATTACAAAATAAAATATATACATACTTTTAAAACAAAATAATTTGCTACTTTCTAGAAGCTTGATTCAACTCCCATTAGAGATAGGAAGGATGGTCCACTAGATAAGGCACTGTACGTGGACTGAGGAGACCTGAAATCAGTTCTTGGCTTAGCCACAAGTGTACTATGTAACCTTGAACAAGTCACTTTATCTACTCTGTGCCTTAATTCACCATATGTAAAGTAGGAATAGTGCTTCTCTTCCTCACAGAGGAGGTGGTAGGATTGTGAAACCTTTAGGAAGCATATACAAACATAGAAATACCTGGATAGCTAAAAATAACATTGATAGGAGTCTTTCCGTTGACTTCCACAGGAATTGGATTGGATCCAAGCCACATGGAATAACTTCTTCAGTGAATGCATAATCATGTTGTCATCTCCACTTCTGTCTTAATTTAGGGGCTTGGATTCTGAAAACACTTATCAGGCATGGTGCTTACTACCATGAGTTTGTCCTGTGGAAGTAAGCATTTCCAGGATCAGGCTTTTAAACTGTAAGATCTTCATTTCAAAAATCTTTTTTTATCACTACTCTGAAATGCCATGAACATCAAGCAATAATAATGACTAGCACTTACATAGATACTCCTTCCAACTATTTATGGTGTCTTCTTAATTCACTTGTTGGGTAATTTGGTAAACACCTCAGTAACAAAACCATTTGTTTGAAAAACTCTCATCCTTTATTGTGCTCAAATTTGTTTATTTTAGGCAATGGGATAATGGGATAATTTGCCATTTAATGAGGAAGAATGAAATTATGAATGAACTGAAAGAGGAAAGCAATCAAGGTACTCACACATTCCTAAATTTTATTCTGAAATTGTTATTGACATTATAAGCACTATTTTGCTACACACTCTGGTATCATCTGAGAGCTGATCCAACAAAACTGAAATCAATCAGCCTTTCCATTGACTTAAATTAGAATTCAGGTCTTAAGTCAATGAGGCGTGGGGCGGACGGGAGGAGGAATTATTCCACATCTTCCTACTGCAGAGTTCTTACACCATCCATTGAAGCATCTGATTCTTGCTCCTGTCAGAGACAGGATATTGGACTACATGGCCAATGGGCTGATCCAGTAAAGCAATTCCTATGTTCCTAATCAAAGATGTAAGAATTGACTCTGTCAACCAAGAGGAAGGCAGATGACCTTAAAATAGGATGACCTGACAGAAGGGAAACTGCACCCCAGTCTTTGCTGTAGTCGCTTTTTGGATGTTCATGCTTCTGCTTGGAGCTCAGAGAGTGTTTATCCAACCTATTTTCTGTACAAACATTGAATTGCTCCCATTAAGGATCATCCCTCTTTGATTGCTTGATACAGTAAGAATACATCATTGGCTCAGAAATACACATTTGGAAAGGAACAGTCCATATTAGATCAAAAGGATTCTAAAAATCTCAACATTGAAAAGTAGAAATAGTATGAAGAGACTAATTTTTCCTCTCACTTATACCAGTATAAAACCATTGTAGCTCTGATTTGATACCAATATGAGAGGGAAATGGATTCCAAAGCAGCAAAAATGGAAGAAATAAAATATGCAACCAAAAACACCGAAAGAAAAATAATTCCCTGAAATAAAAGAAAAAATAATTCAGTGCACCTTAACACTAACAGGACTCTATTACCACAAAGGAACATTACCAAACAGAAGTTAAAACTATATATATTTATCAGAAGTTAAATTGAATACAAATGTATTAAATTTGAAATCCCGGGACAGTGATCACTTATTTAAAAATATTATTATTTGAGTTGAGACCTTGCACTTGCGTGCTTATCTTCAAACTCACTTTGACGAGGACATTGCTCATAAGACACTTTGTTCCAGTCTGTGACCTGATTCACTCACATGTTTAAAAATATTAGTACAGTACATTTAAGGAAGTTGGTACATTTGGGTCTAATTAATTATGTACATTGTAGATCTTTAGTCTTTCCGCTCAATGAACCAGAGTTTTAATTCATTTTAGGTTTCAATGTTTTGTTGGGACTCTCTGCCTCTGCTTTAAATCTAGCCTCTAGCATTTGATCGGGTTACTTTACAACTCATGATATTCAGGAACTCCAAATGTAAGGCTCAGATAAATTCTGAAAAACTGACATCCCAGAAGTATTGATATTGAAGAAAATATAGAACAGTTCTAAAAAATTACTCTTCAGGCACAGATACCAGTGATTAAACCCATTGAAATAAGATAGTCGGGGAATGTTTATGGAGATTTTGGAAGGTAATATATATTTTAATTAATCTTGGCCTCATTAATTGTCAAACTACTTCATCATCAGGTTCTACATATGTTCCTACTGATCCTTTATCTTCATCATCACAGTCTCATTCCATCCAAACAGAAGAAAGACCACACTGTGATGTTGCTGAACATCTCTGTCCTGGCCCATCTGTCCTCTATACTCTAGGGTACCAATTTGTGTGTCTCCGTCAATGTGTGTGCTATCTCCTGTTGTGTTGGTCTCAGTTCTACAGTTTATATCACACAGAACTTTCAATAACAGTTGTGTTTATCTGGTATATTTCCTTGGAAGGACTCAGAGAACTATACCACCAATAATTACAGCTGTGAAGTAGACAAGTTTTATTGTTCCCATTACTTTGAAAATGTGTGAACTGAGATGCAGATTCAGTAAAAGGCAGATTTTCAAAGGCACAAATGGCAGTAAAGCACCTAGCGCCCATTGACGGTAGGGTTAGGCTTCTAACTGCCATTTGTGCCTTTGAAAATATTCCCTAAATGAACTGGCCAAGGCCACAGAGCTAGTCACTGATAGAATTTGAAATTGTCTAATCATCCTTAATCTAACTTTGCCTTTCAATTTCTACAAAAAGATGCTGCTTGAATCAAAGATGGTATCCAGCAGGGAAATAATGCCAGAAAGGTGAATGTGACAGAGATAAACTAATAATTGCTAGTGAAGAGTGAGCTCCTCATGTTCAAGAAAGCTCTAATAATAATCTTATTTCTTATACTCTTCTTTTTTCTCTCTTCCCCAGGTTTGTGTTGGAAGGGTCCAAAGCAAAGGCAAGTTTCATTCATGCAGCAATAAAGCCAAGGGCCTTCACACATGTGGTCATTAATGATCCCACTGTAACAGATCTAAACCCTGCACTCAAGTGATTCACTGTAGGCCCTGCTATTGCTTTGCACTCCAAGGTACACCTAGCTAAAGAACAGATTATTTCTGTAGTCAATGGCAATACTTCTGTTGACTTCAGTGGGTGCAGCATCAGACCCAGGGCTCATAACAGTATTCATATTCATAGAAGTGTAGTGGTGCATTATGATCTCCCAGTGGTGTAAGGCAGGTATAACATTGGTGAAATCAGAAGTTACACCAATCTAAAACTCATCTACATGAGATTAGAATCAGGCCTTCAGTCTAATTCTCAGAAATTCAGTAAACTATTTTTTGTTTTCCATGATTTCTTCTTTTAAACAGTTCTTAGAATAACAGATCATTCGTAATAGGGCCTGTAAGATATGAGAAGCCCATCGCATGTCCCTGTAGATGTAAGCCGACCTAAGCTCCAGTGTAGACCTAGCTACCCTCTCTCACGGAGGTGAATAACCTACACTGAGGGGAGAATACCTCCCGTTGGCATAGGTAATGCCTACTCTGAAGTGCTACAGCAATGCAGCTGCAGCTGTGCTGCTGTAGTGTTTCAGGTGTAGACAAGCCTTCAGAGAGGAGGATTTAGTACAGCAATGGAAGAACCCCGGCCGTCGCTTTAGTAAGTGTCTATGCTACAGTGCTACTGCAGCAGCCGTGCCTCTGTAGAATTTCTAACGTAGACAGACCCTAAGACAGGGAAGTGCTCTGCTGTCTATGGTGTACCTGATCAGTAGACAAACAGAGAAATACTGCTTCCAGGGCTACCAGGCTAGCACCTTTCATGAGCACTAAACTAAAGGCCAAATTTGAGTGAAATTTCATGCAGCTAGCAAAAGGCTCATGCCTGGCACAAACTCTACCAAATGTCAAGTTTCTTTTCTAATGCATTTTAAAGAAAAAGGCTCACTTTTTAAACAACGTCTCATTCTCAGAAATGGTCGGACCATTTTGGCTGAAATTTTCCAACATATTCAGCCTGAGGCAAACACCCAGCATGGGGAATTTCAGCCTAAACAGTTAACTTTTGGCAAAGTTTAAGTCACTGAAGTCAGGGTCTGACTTGGACATGGAAGTGTCAGGGAACTTTCATAAGAAGTGGTGTTATCATTACTGCCGCTACTGCCCATATAGAACCTCTCCTCTGAGGGTCTCAGATCATTTTTTCAAGCACTGGTTAGTAAAGCCACACACAGAAGCCCCATGGTGGGCAGGTGTTATTAGCCTGTTTTACAAACAGGGATACAAACAGAAACGGGGTTAGTATGAGGCCTGGGGACAGAACCCACCAGGCCTAATTCTAAGTCCCCCACTGGAGCAAGTTTTCCCAGTAGACTGTAACCTATTTCTTTACTCCTGGGAACCTGGCTCCCTTTGGCCTGCCAATGTATTGTGCTGCTCTGCCCCACAAGTGCATATATATTAGACAGACCGTCCCTTTTTTATTTCCTAGCTCTGCTCTTTCGAATTTTGTGATTTAAACTATTGTTGGGGAGAGGAAAGGGGGAGTCTGAATAATAAACTCATTCAGGACAGCTGCCTACAGTTCAGTTTTGTGGCTCCTATGGGTATGTCTGTACAGTATGGAAAAAAGAATTCTCAGCCTGAACTGAAGTGGCCTAATACACAGCCCTGCAATGGGAGGCCTGAGATGAACAACTCTGGGATTCTGTGGAGACAGAATGTGTTGCCTGTGTGACTAGTTAAATCAGGGCCGTTGACTTCATCCTTGTTTCAAAACCCCTTGCTAGGTGCATTTCATGTGACCGCATAAATTGCAGGGGCCAGGCCCTGAAGCTGCATAAAAGTTCATGCCACTGTCTGATTTCCTTAGAAAAGTGAGAACAATAGTTAAGTGCTAACAGTAACTGATGAGATAGCAGGGACCAGCTGGGAATGCATTGTAAAAAGAGTCCCAGCAACAACACCTTCCTCAGCTTAAAATTGCAGCCATCTTCAACAACCCAGAGTTTTCTTAACCAAACTGCTGACTCCTTTTTTCTTATCAAAACACCACAGCACCCATGTTAACAACCCAGAGTCAATCAAATGCAGGACCAGCTGGAGCTAGCCAGCTCTTGTCTCTCCCTCGCTTTCAGGTGTGTGCTGCACTTCGGTGGCAGATGAATTTATGTTCTCAAAGCAGTGTGCGCCCCTAAAACTTTCAAAAGCACTGGGCCGTGCCAGAGATTTCCGATCCAAAAGAGCAGAGCTCTTCCGGATTGCCTCAAACCCCCGGATGTGGGTATCGGTGATTTTGTTTCCTGTAGTCTTTTGTTGAATTAAACCTCTTCTTCCATCATGTAAAGACTTAAATCCACAGATGTAAGAAGCACTTGGAATTTGTCAGTGTGCATCTCTCTCGCCTCTTCCCTTTGGATTTGTTTGGGTCTGGCAAGCTCGCCTATAAAACACATGTTTAAAAGCTCCCTTTTAAATACAAATAAACGCGGAGAGGGAAATTCAGCCAATGTTTGTGATCGTAGCGAATTTAAAACAGTTTTCTTCTCAGGTCGTATCTGGTCAGAGGTGATTCTAATGAGTGTTTCTGTAGGATCAGTCTATTCTATTAAATATAAACTTGTGTTGCTATGAAGGGGGAATTAAAAAAAACGCAATACCTTTAATTATTACCTGCAGGGGAAGTTACTATTTAACTCCTGAGTTATACACTCCAGTCTCTCTGGCTGCATGTAGCTACTTCAAATGTAGGCTGGAATGAACGACCAACAAAAAAACATTAGCGAGATAAAAGTAAATAAGCGAAAAGGGGTTAAGATTTCAGACCACTGACCCCTATTTTGCCTTGCGTAAGTAACACTCTCACACACACACACACACACTTCAAAAGGTTTTATCAGTCTTGACCCTCTGTAAAACGCTGGTGGCTCCGTTACTACACGAGTATTTCTCATCCGTAGCACGATCCATCCACCCACCCTTCTTTCCTTCCTGATGCTGCTTCTACCTTTTGCACATTGCTGAATTTCTCCAGTTCCTCCACTCCCACCCCCCGGCTACAATCGCCTATAGATAGCTATGGCTCCTCCAAGGTGTCCGGCTCCAGGAAGGCTGGGCGAAGCACGAAGCCTCTAAAGCTGCAGCCGCCTCTGCCCTCGCTGCACAGCGGTCCCCAGCACAGAATCCTCGGGCTTTCTGTTCACTTCCTTACGATGCAAAGGGAGAGATTTTAAACTGGGTGAAGTTCCAGGTAAAGCTCTTGGCTCGAATCAGGACTTAAAACTTGGACCTGAGCAACTTTTGTATCACAGTCAAAGCTCCTGCACACCCTGAAAGACAGCAACAGGGACCTCAGTCATTCAGGTTCTCGGAGTCCTCAAACTAAATCTTTCATGATTTGGCTGTAATTTTTAAAATCCCTCTTCAGGTTAAGGCTCTCTCTGATTTCTCGTCCAAATGACTGTACAAAAACACGACTACAAAACTCGGCTTCATTAACATGGCCAGTGTGTGTGAAATAACTGTATATTCCCAACATGTACACAAAGACTTCCCCATTTTGGTAATTATCCTCACCAACCTGGTAATTTATGCAGGATGTTTATATTTATACAACATGCACATTTTTGAAGGAGTCTGCTTCTTCATCAGGTCAATGTGTTAATTAAAAGTTGGTCCAGATTGGTCACTTTGCAGTCCCAGATGTGCTTAACAGCATGCAATTAACACGCAAGGAAAATCTTTTTGAAGATACCAGAATGTAAAAACTCAGTAGAAAGCCCTTCGCTTCTTAACATGAAATAGCAATGGCAGCCCCCCAAAAAGTCATTAGAGATATAATTAAATATGGAGTATTTTTGAAGAACGCCCTGCACAATCATCCAAAAATATTAAATAGTAATTTGATTTTTTTTCCTCTAGCACTACAGGTGCTAGCTCTGTTTTCCCTTCATTTCCCACACCATGTATATTAAACAGAGAGAGTACATTGCTCTATTGTTGATGATGACTTGAGACTTGGCTGAAATATTTTGCTTCGCGGTGTAAAATTGCAAAGTGGGTCTCTATCTAAAATGGCTAGCTTGGCTTTTATAATTACCTCGTGGGCTAAACTTCTCTACAGTCCATTTTTTTTAAAGAAGAGAAAAATAAGAGTTTGCCCTGGGTATTAACATTTCTGTGTTCAGGTGCTTCAAGCCAGGCTCCCAGTAACTGCAATGGCAGATTAGCCTAAGTAAAGACTGCAGGATCGGGCCCTATATTTTTATACTCACCCTGGTCTATCAGTCCATTCACAGCAACTTGACTGCCTGCCTGTTCTTGCATTCAACTTAGTCTAACCGTATCAATTTGCAGGCCTCAGTGCAGCAGTTTGCCTCCCCTGAAATTCCCCCCGCCCATGACCCCCCGTATAATGCCTTGTCTTCCTTAGTCTCTGACCCTCGGTTCGCTAGAGTGTATTCCCCACGTATGCACGAGGGAGCTTGTATTTCACACCCCGGGAAATGATTTATCGGATTGTCGTGGCCAACAAAATCACTTCTTAAAATTGTTCATTTATTAAAATTGGCTGAATCTTTTTTCAACATATTCCTTTCCTAGGAATATTTCTCCCCTACGCAATAAAAACGACCCCTCATTTTCTTCTGTTTCATTAAAATGATGCAGCACTCGATACCTCTGAACAACAATCTCCACACGACCCCTACCCCTAGGACACTGCTTGCATACTGGGCGCGGGTAGGGCCACGCGATGGCAAAAATACTTCGCTCTGTACCCAAAGACAGACAGACGCACAGAGGGAGGCTGCACGGGTCCTTGCAAACTGGCTAGAATTGTAGCTATCAGCCTGAAGCCGCAGAAGGGGCTATGATTTAAACCCAGACCCGTTCTCGTTGTTACCAAGAGTATATATATTTTTCTCTTTTGTAGGATACAGAAGGTGAATAATGAAATCCTTTTGCTAATAGTTTATGAGCCATGAGATTGGAAATGTATATGGATAGACCAGAGCGCCAGACTAAAAATCACTTGAGAGAGTCTCGGAGCCTGATAGAAGAAACCCTTTAATATCCCCAGCACAGAGCAAAGGGAAACAAGGAGCTGCTAATGTCTGGGGTGGTATTTCTTCCCTATCCCCACTACCGGATAACAGCGGCCTTATTCAGAGAATAGCAATGCCCATACACCACTCATGCCATGTATATGTATACACACTATATATAATTCACACTCTATAAAAAGAGTCATTATATATCTGTATATAGTGTGTATACATATACATGGCATGAGTGGTCTTATTCCTTGAATAAGGCCGCTGTTATTATATATATATATATAATATAATATTCCTTATAGCTTGTATATACATGATGCACACACTATATATACATTCACTATGTATTTTATATGTGCGAGTGTGTACGTATGAGTGTGTATAGTATATACTGTATTACATGTAGTGTGTAGTTATAGTTTGTGTGTGTGTGTATATATATACACGCATTTTAGTGGCATAGAATGTGTAGTCTAGGGTGTGTGTGTTATACCATTTGTGGTTCCAAAGTGATCTTTCTTTGGGGTCCCACCCCCCGTGGTGGAATTGGAGGACCTGTGCGGAGTCCCGCAGCACCAGTGTAGAGGCTGCAGGAAACACAGAGTGCAATACGAACCCACCCAACCTCCACCTCCAAAGCCACTTTTTCCTCGTTTTTTGCAGCACGTCACTTATGTGCCTGCTTCAGAACAGGCCGGCTCAATATGGGCGACGCTGCCAGCCCCGCTTGCCACACGAGCTCGCTTCTAGGCGAGCCTTCGCGGAGCCCACACCTTTATAGGAAGAGGCGTTGCACAGAAAGGCTGTGACACACGATGTCTGGGGGGCATCACATACACATACACCCGCTGCAAAAACAAACTCCACTCGGTGTATGCCACGGAGGAAAGTCGCCGCTGCGCGAACTGGCACCATCTGGCCTGAAATTCCCAGAGCCGCAGCACCCCTGACTGCTAGGGGAGCAAACCTCTGCATGGCTCCAAGGACTGGGCTCCTGTTGGACCTCGCCTGCAATTCAGTGCCCCCCCCCCACCCCATACGGTAGTTGTCGTTAGGACGGGAGACCAACAATGCCAATGCTGCTAAGTGCTAAGTCTATTCACAAAAAATAGGGGGGGGGGTTGGAGCCCCGCCCTGACTAGCTTTTAGGGACACGTCCTTTCCCAGCCCCGCAGCGGGAGTGCGGCCGAAGGGTTGCTCTGAAGCGGAGGATGGAGCTGGAAAAGAGCGGCTCTGCCTAGGGGCTGCTGTCCGACTCTGTGAACTCCGTGTTGCAAGCCGGGGGGTCAACTCGCACAACCTCCCCATAACACCCCCCGCCGGACCTTCGCCAAGCGGGGCGGCGGGTGTGAAAGGAGCTGGGACGAGGCAGAGACCCCCCAGCCCCGCCGGACTGGGCAGCGAGGGGTAGAATGGGCCCCTAACGCTGCTGCTGTTTGCTGGTCGACCTGACTCTTGACCCCTCCGCTCTCGGGTTTGTTTCTTCTTGAGTCTTTTTAAATTAGGGGTTTGGGTTTATGCAGGAGTTTTTTTTTAAAGCCTAAATATATTGCAGAGCTCACGGCTGGGTGAAGGGTAGTAATCCCCGCCCACTCCCCCCGGGGGCTGCGAACGTCCCTCGGACAGTGCCCGGACAGTGGCGTACCCAGCTGGCCGGTCGCAGGAGAGAGAGCAATAGCCTGACACAGCCCAGGCTCAGACCATCGTCCTGTAGACAGAGCCCCAGCTCAGAGAAAGGTGGTGGGGAAAGTTTACCTAAATACCTGTCTGATCCCTAAGGAAAGGGGAACAAACCCCAGTAAGGCCAGGTCAGCTCCCCAGAGAAAGCAGGGGCTGCGCTTGTGTCCTGGGGAAATCTCCTCTGGTTTCCAGCCCCAGCTACACACTGGAGAGCAGGGGGGAAATGAGAGGCACGTAAGGGAAAAGTTTATATTAGCTACACCGCCAAACTGTTACCCGGGCTCTGAGGAAAGGGGCACTGGATTGAGGGGGGCATTTTCCTTCTCCCTCACTGTCCCCTTCCAGGTTTGCAACCTGAGATTTTTGCAGAGGGCTTGTGGGGCTTTGGTTGTTTGTAGTATCCGCTAGAGCTTTCAGGGTGGTAGGGATCCCCCTCACACACAAAGCAACATCTTGGCACCAAAGCGAGAGAGACAATCAACCCCAACGAGGGGTATACCCCTGTGCAGCCACAGAGCCTAAACAACAAGGGGGTTGTCTTTGCAAGGAAAGCTGTCCCTGGACCTCACATCACTCCTCTAGCTCAGGCAGGAGGAGTCAAACTGAGGAATTGATCCCAGCTGGGGGAGAGAAATCCAGACTGATGCAGGCAAACCAAGTAAGCAGCAATTTACAGAACAACCCTCCAAGATGCCCTCGTTGGGGGGTATGTCCCAGCCCCCTGCCCGTCAGGCTCAAAGCTGGTGCCAATAATTGAACACGCTCCTGCATTCTAGGATTCCTGGGCGCCTTAAAGCTCCAAAACGAAGTGTTTCTCGGTGGTTTGTTTTGTGTGGGATATGTGTATGGGCGGCTGGTTAAAAGCCCCAGCCAGACACCCTCCCCCCTCCGTTCCGTCCATTCTCTCCCAAATAAAATCCCCCCTCGAATAATTTCAGGCTGCATTCTCCAGCGTTCCCCTTTATATTTTTCAAGTAAGTGAGGGTAAACTCACTAATCCCCCCCGCCTGAGCCATCACCATCTCCTTCACTTCCACACGGACAGGTATGTGCTTTCTTGACCCCTCCTTCCTAAAAACCCATCAAACGCACCACAGAGACCACTCGGAGTGAAAGTCAGTGCTAATCCAGGTCAGTTTCTCCCAGTGGTTGGGAGGGAGAGGCGGGGGGGGGGGCTAATATAAATGTCCTAAGGAAAAAAAAACAAAGCAAACAAACAAACAAACAAACCCTCACACACAATCCCAATAAAGTCCAATTCCTTCCCACACACCCACAACTTTAGCCCTGGCTGCTGCCTGGGGGGTTTTTAATCTCACAAAGAGAAAGGGGGGCTCCATGCGCAAAATTACGCCTTCTCCTCTCATTTGTTAGCTGATTCCATCAAAAAGTTCGGTATTTATAGGCTACACACACGAACCTGGAGTAATACAAACCCTCCCGTGTTGTTCCCCTTGCAAAGTGACCGGTCCTGAAGCATCTGACCGGTTTTGTGTGTGGAAGAGAGCGAGACAGAGAGAGAGACTCACACACACACAGAGCTACAATCAAACCCGGGGAAGAAGAGCTCAAGCTGAGAGATTTATTAATTGCTAAGAGCTGCTCTGCCATCCAGCCATGTGAGTACCTAACAATGATCACCTTTTGCACAGATGGTCAGTGATCAGACGCCGGCACTGTCTTTTTTCCCCTCCCCCTCCGCCTTTCTATTTTTTTTTAATTTTTGCCTGTCCTTTCCCTTTCTCCCTATTTTTGATAAAGTTTTAGTTTGCCTGGTTTATGCCTCACGAAGAGGGAGAAGTAAACGTGGGAGGTGGGGGGGGCGAAATGTGCTGGAGAAAAGGAAGGAAGGAAGCCGTGGTGGAGAGAGAAGGAGGGTTTATTGAGCGATCGCCTTGTCCCTTGAGTCCGATCCGACTGGGAATTAGTAACAGAAAAATAACGTAGGTTATCCCTCCCCCCTTTCTTTTCCTGTCGCGTTTAGCCCCCTAGACAATCACCCGGGTAGCGATACGGGGTATCCATCGGTATTAATCCAAACCCGGGGATGGGTGGGTGGAAGGAATATAAAAAAGAAAGGAGAAGAGGGCTTGGTGATTTCGCATATAGAAGTGACTAGCGGACAGCTCCAAGCGTGATGCACAGACAGGTAGGAAATGCTGCACACAGGAGTCAATGCTCTCTCTGGCTGGCTGTGAATACAGTTTGAAGGGGAGAGGGCGGACACAGATCACACAGTGCGCTCTGCTATCCTGGTCTCCATTATTCTCCCGCAGTAGGTGCCCGCCTTAGAAATCAAATTTCACGTGGAGGGAATAGGGATTTTAGTGGGGTGGCTGAGGGGTGGTTTAGAGTTTGTTCCCCGATCTGTCCGGTGTCTTGCCTTGCCTCTTCCGATAGGTGAGGCTTTTCAGGCAGTCACAAAGCTCAGGGTGACACAATAAGTCAAGTGAAATCAAGCCACACACCGCATGCAGGGCACGGCATGTGCGTTTCAGATAGTGCACGGATGACTCTTTGGAGCAAAATGCAACCTGTAATAGGAAATGTGACTCTTGAAAAGGTAGGTATGTTGCTTTATGCAATACTGGAAGAACCTAAGGCTGGGAGACCCTCAGCTGGGCAATGCGGGGCGTGGGAGAGTGAATTCGCTTCCAGCTTTTCTAAACCAATACTTGAGCTCCAATCATACACTCCCAGGTTAGTGTGGCATTAAATTAACAGTCGGGGTGATCCAGGGCGTCAGGCTGTGTGCCCGGGGTGGAAACTCTCTTCGTTTAGACACAAAGAAGAGAGCGAGAAGGAGTTACCCTGGAAAGCCAAAGAGCACGGTGAGTGTCTGTATTTGTTCTCCCGCCTCACCCCACCCCCATGATCAAAGTGCAGTGAAAACCAGCGCGTGTTTGTGTTTGAGCCCTTCGGAATCCCCCGATCACTTGCGGGTTTTAGCGCACTAGTGGTCATGCCTGGGCTTTAAACACAGAGGATTTAGACTCGAGCCCCCGTACAATAGCAGGGAGAACTTGCAGTGCCTTGGCTAGAACTTTTCTGCCTCGTGTGGAAAAAGTGACTTGGATCCAAGGCCATTTATAGGTGGCCGTGAAGCCTCCTTTTCAATAAGCAGCCGTGGAAAAGCGGCAGCGGCAAGCCGGCTGCCTTATTGCTTCAAGACGTTGGACCGTCAGATCCCCACTCCCCGCACTGCACCTACAAAGCCACAGCTCTTGTTGGCTGGGGCAACTGTCAAAAGCGGGAGGGGATCATGGTTTGCTGACCCCTAGTTCGGACACGTTTACTTGACAATCACAGGCATAGGGCACAAGAGTGCTAGATGCAAGACTTTCCCCTTGCCTTTCAGGACTACACACAATACAGGGCACCTGCAGGGCTGAAAGTGGGCCAGGGCCACACGGTAGGTATCAGATCACACACAGCAGAAGAAAGAAATTCAGTTAAAAATATATTAGTTCATATCAAAGGGCGAGCTTGATTTTTTTTTTAAACAAAGGTGCACATTAGAACAAGCTAGAAGCGTTTTGTGTCTGATACTCTCCACGCCCACTGGAAATAAAGCACAGCCTGCTCTTTCTTTGCGTCTTTTAAACTCCCTTTTAATTAGAATTGCTAAAGTAGGACACCCCGGTGGAAGATGTTTTCAGTATCCACCTACATCTCTGCTACAAGCAGAATTAGTGCCTGTTAAATCCACTGTTTGAAACCCAGCCCTCCTGCAAAACTCTTCCCCACCCCACGCGCTGTTTTGCCACCTTCTCATCCCCACAAATTGCAGGGTATTGAGGGAAAGGTTACTCTATTTAAAACAATCTCTAAAGCAACAATGAGGAGGCTGGATTCAAAAAGCCTTGCCTTGTTGCACGCACATCAGAAAGCCTGCGGTTGGGAGTATCCCTTAGAACTCATTTTTTTTTAAAAAAAAAGTTCAAACGTAGGTGTGCCCCTTCACACGTCTACTTTAATTTATTTGATTACATCATAAAAAAGATAAAATCGTCTGCTTCTGGTTATGTGCCTCCACCGAACTAAAAGCTGAAGCTGGGCTGAGCTGTGGCATCGGCACTAGTTAACTAATGGCAATGACCGAAATGAAGTTTTAGCCCTTGCTTCACTCGAAGCGGGATTACCACGGAACCTCATGCACTTCTCCTAATTTGCGCATCTTAGTTTCTTGCTACTTTCCCCCCCCTTGCTCTGATGTTTCTGATGATGGCGGAGGCTGATCGCATTTCTGCTGATGAAAGTGTCTGCCGAAACCATTCTTTTTGCTTCTGTTATCAATGGCTTCAGAGAAAAAATGAAATCCTTTTGATAATGAAACACCTTGAACGTGTTAAGTTTAGAACCACTGCTGGGCCAATGCAGGCTAACATGTAGTTTACATTTTCTATACCAAGATGACTATTTATTTCCAATGCTAAATAAGTACTAGGTTATATTCGCCTTCAAGGAAAGTTGTCCTTGTTAGAGCGCTAAAAACATTTTTAAAACCTTCCCCTTTAAAGCCTGGATCCCCCTTTAATTATTATCTATGTACAGATGAGTCTAAATTAACCCTTTAATATGAAGACGCCTGTCCACAAAGAATGATAATTCTCTTTCCTTCTTTCAAAGATAATTACAGGGAAGCATGTATTTTTTTTTACAGTTCATCAGTAATTTAACTGAACTATTATCCCCAGCATTCAGTCTGTTCAAAACGGTTTACCCTCTCCCCTACATTTTCTTTAAATACATTAAAACATGTTTGAAGTTGTGAAAAATAGTTTAGAATGTAGCTTTAGAATTAGCATGTGATCGCAATTACTGATCTGCCCTAACATGATCCGAATTATCTGAGCATAATTTAAAGTCTAACATTTGCTGACACAAATATGTAGCAAGCAAATAAAAACCACCCCCACAACAAATGCATAACAAACAGGAAGGAAAACCCCATCATCTGCATAGCAACAGGTAACACACCTGCAGAGTTAAAGGGCTAAATGCCGGTCTTTAGCGGGCTAAAAACCGCCGGTATGTTTAAAACAAACAACTAGCGCACTTTCAACCATAGGATACCAACAGAAAAATATAGCTAATGCCCAACGAAATTCAAGAAGTTTTAAGCTACCAGTGCGATGAATAGGAAATCTGCCAGGAAATCAAAAAGATCAGCGAATAGCGACATAGTCTTGTTTGCAACTCACACCGCACCGCTAGCTTGTCAGTCGGCAGGAAGAAGAGGGCTTGCTTTTAAGCGGCACAGACACGTGTTGATAGTGAGCTGTCAAAGAATAACACGGTCTTCATAATGCCCCACCAGGCTAAGGACCCGTCAGGACTGAACCTCATAATGTCCATCTTGCCGGGACCTGGTATTTTATTAAAGCGTCTGTAGCGAATCCGTGGCTCGGCCGTGCTTCCCACGGGGCAGTAATGCAGCAAAGGGGCACTTCAGTTTGAGGGGGCGATGCACAGTCTGTAGCTGGTTACTTAAACGTTGGGGTCAGATGGGGTGGGGCGGGCGCTGAGTAACCCTGACAAAAGTAACGGGTCTCCATCACTGTGCAAACAGACCCCCCCCAGGGTTTGTGTGCGGGGCGTGCCCAGGTAAGAAATATCGGCCACTCTCCTGGCTCAGCCACCAAAAACTTCCCGAGAGCCGCCCGGTTTAGGGACAGCTCCTTGCTACCAAATCCAAACACACCGGCCCGGGAAATAACTGCCCAGGGAGAGTGTGGGTATTGGCTGGGACAGTGCACCTGCACAGTGGGGCTGATTCTCCCGTCCTTACCCGGCAAAACTGTCGCTGAAGTCAATGGGAGTTTTGCCGGAGTAAAGACTGCAATCCCTGGCTGCTAGGAAAGGGCCTGAGATGTTCCGACAGGTCTTCCCTCGCCCTCCTTCCTCGCCACCCCTGGCTGGGTTTACGGGTTCACACACTTTGGAGGGCGCTCGGGAATGAAGATAAACGAGCAGCGTTCCCTTGCCTGATTCACTGAACTTCTTCCAAAACTCTATCCCGGCTATTAAAAGTTGTGTCACTCTTGCAAAGAACCGGTGCGCCGACTGGGAACGGGGCTACAATTGCGATGAATACTAATCCAGAAAGGGAAACTGTTTGAGAGAGACCTTAAAGATCCTCTTGGCCACAGGAGCCCCCATTATATATTGTATGCATTTTCTCTCTAATTAAAATCAGTTATTATTGCTGCTACAAAAAGAGAGTGCAACCCACAATAATATCTACAACAGACAGGGTGTATATTTCAATAATGAGCAGAGAAGGCAAGTTGCACAGTTGCCGAACTTTTTGAACATCATACCTTGCATTTTCAGAGTTCGGCTGTTTGAGCTGTACAGAGTCAGAATATATTTGGCCTAATCCGTTTCTTCTGGGTGTCCTCTTGGTTATACATAACAGCCCAATATTAAATGACCATGCAGTTTAAACACTTTGAGGAGATATTGAAAATTCTCATTGAGAAACAGAGCAGCTAAAAACAAAGCCATAGCATTGTTAAGGAGGGATGATGCAGTCCTAAATAACATTGACAATATTAATGTGACTTCTTTGGAATATGGAAACCTTTTCAAACAGCAATACTATAGCCATACTTTG